CCTTAGGGATACCCCGAAGCTCACGATAGAGTGGTAGCATGCTAAGACTTCTCCAATAAAATGTGCCGTAGGGTGGAGGGGATGGGCTCTCTTCCTTCCCAGGTTTCTCTTCCTCACCCTCCAGGCCCTTCCCCAGCTCCCAGGATGGGGCTTCCTGACTGGTACTATAAGACCACACCCACACCAGCTGGCTCTGGGAAGGTCAGAAGTGCCAAACTCTGTCAGGTCCAGACTAGGCTGTTGTCACTTGCTTACTGTCCAGCTGCTAGCCAAGGATTCAGTCCCTGGCTGAAGATTTCTCTTACCCCCCCCCCCCTCACTCCCAGCCCAGAACTGGCTGCCTCTTCTGAGCTGAGTCATGGCATCCCAGTCAGGGTTGGGGAGGCTCACCCTACCCTCACCCCTATCCCAACGTCCCAAGTCCACAGGGCAAGGGTCCGGAGAGCCACAGGGTCAGCCTGGAGAGTTCTTCCATTCTCTTGTACTGAAACTCAGCGAGAATATAATAACCAGGCTCATTTCTTCCCAACTTACGTCTATCCAGAACCCATAAAGAGCCCCTGATTTGGAAGACAGGACAAGGCCAGGAAACAAGTTTGTGTCCTACTTTTGCAGGCAATTTAGCAGGTCACACTTCTGAATCCGTCACGGTCTCCCCATGTGTGGGACAGGTTAAGGAAAGTGACTGTTCTGTGGAGAAGCACAGCTGTGTGCAGCCAGACTCTAGACGGTGAGCAGATGCTGTGGAGGTGAGCACGTAGCCGTTAGAGTCCATCCTGCCGAGACCCAGTGGGACTTCTCAGGTCCCTGCCATGCCTTAGTTTCCCCCCCCCCCCGTACAGTGATCCCCAGGAAGGGATCCATTAGATGTTTCCTGGCTGCAGGACATCGACATTCCAAGATTCTGACCTTGTGACCCTAGGACTGGGCCTCCTGCTTGGGTGTCTTGTTTATTCAGAACTTGGTGGGACTGAAGCTGGTGACACCAAGCACACCAAGTGCCCCTTTGAACCGCAGCTGGCTCTCTCCCCTCCCAAGTTGTTGCATTTCTGCCTGGCCTGTCCTCTGCCTGCACTCAGTGGCAGCCCTTAAGCCCGTGCATAGTCTCATTCTCATTCTTATAATGTGGCTTTCTCCTCCTGTCATTTGCACTGCGAAGTTCATCTCTGAAAGTTGCCCCTTTGGCCCCTGCAACATGCAGTCACCGAGTCCTATTGACTCTCAGCTACCTTAATCTCAAAGCCATCTGTTTCTCCAGTCCCCACCCATGGCCCTCTATCCAGCCTGCAGGGGTGGTGGGCAGTGAAGAGGCCGAGCTGCCTCGTTTTGGTCTCTACTTTCCTTTTGTCTGGTCTGCATATCTTGGCAGTTTACCAAAGCAGTCTCCTCCTCAGTTTTCTTAGCTATAAAATGGGATTGATCGTTCTCTACCCACAAGCTGTCAGAGGATGAAGTGAGACAATGCCAAATGCCCCACAGCAAATGAGGCTTTTAGCTCCAGGGTGACTGTGGTCCTATGTATAGACGTTCTCTCTCTTATGTCCTATGTGGAGGGGGGTGGGTACATGGGTGACTGTTATACACGGTGCATTTCTGGTGGAAACATGGTAAAGAACTGAGGGAATTGTGTGCACGTGTTTCTTGTGTGGGCATGCACATGGTTCGTGCCTGCCTGAGGGCTGGGCACACACTCGAATAGCTACACATGTGTGTGCTGTTGAAGAGCGTGTGAGAGAGAGCGTAGGCAGCATCTGGGCTGTGTGCATGTGTTCACCGTGTGCAGGCCTCCCTCTGGCAGCAATGCAGCCCCCCCTCTTCCCAGACTGCCTGTGTCGTGGGAGCCTCGGGACCCCGAGGGAGGAAAGCTGATGCTGGCGGATGTGGCCAAGATGGGCTGGATTTATTTAGATTAAGTTGGTGGGAAAGGAGTGGGGAATTGTATGTGCTTGTGAGCGGGAAGGCTGGGGCTCGGAGGATGACTCCCAGGCATGCTAGCTCCCTTGGGCTTGGGGCCTCACTCTGATTCCCTAAGGGATGCCTCAGATCTGTTGTGAGAAGCTGAGCCTACCCCCTCTCTGGACCTGGCCTGAACAGGGGCAATGCTGAGGAGTAGGATTTGAGGATTTTCTCCACTATAGGGGACTCACTGGACAGGATAGCATGGTGGGTAAGGGGGTGCCTGCCTATTGGTGTGGTGCCCACGGTGACCTTGGGGACTTTTTTCTGGAGCACAGCTACCTCTCTCAAAGAAAGGAAGTTATCAGATGCATGCCATCAGGACAAGTCAGCTGGCTGCCTGGTCCTTCCTGGGGTTGCTCAGAACATAGCAACTTCCCAAGGCACAAAATGTTCCGTAAGACACTGAATGGAAAGCTAGGACTGTCCAGAGCCATTGAGATGGTCAGGAGGTAATGCTGGGTGCCCGAGTCCCACTCTGATGAGTCTTCCACCTGTAGCTTATTGTCCATGCCACTCCAGAAACACCCCAGGTTCATTCGGTGGGAAGTCACCTGAAAAACCATCTAACTCCCAGTGGTACAGAGGAGGAAACTGAGGCCATTTAGACAATGTGTGTGAATCTACACACTAGGTCAGTGGGATGAGATGAGTCAAGTATTCCCAGGTACTGTGGCCTCAAACATGTCATCTGCATTCCTGACCAGTCCTTACTTCCTCAGGTCTCATCATGGAGAATGATGGTGGCCACACCTTCTCTCTGAATAGTCAAAAAGGTGGAACTTTTGAATTAGTGACAACTCTTTAAGATGACCATCACAGAGTCAGATGGTGGTGGTGCACACCTTTAATCCCAGCATTGGAGAGACAAGAGGCTGGTGGAGCTCTGAGTTCGAGGCTGACCTGGTCTACAAAGTAAGTTCCAGAACAGCCAGAGCTACACAGAGACCCTGTCTCAAAAGTAAATAAATAAATAAATAAACAAACAAACAAATAAATAAAAACAGAGACCATCACTACCTCTCTGAACGGCTATGCAAATGAGACCTGGAGCAGACAGGAGACCCTGTTATTGTCACCCTGGCTTCAAGAATCTGGTGAGGGGTGCTTGTTTCAGAGAATCAAGCCAGTCCAATGCTGGCATTGCCTTGCATTCTACCTCGGAAACTCATTTGCTTCCTGGCCACAGCTGGAACCCACTTTGTGTCTCTGTGACCCGGTCGTGATTCTGGGCTTCTCTGGGTCCCCACTTCCCATTTGAGGAGGCTCCTTTGCAGCTTAGAGTCTTTCTTTCTGCTCCCACAGCCATTTCTCTGCAGGAGAGGGCCTGAGAAGAGAAGACAGAGTGTTACCAAGCATCAGGATTGGGGACTGCATGCCATGAGTTTCTAGCCTACATGGTCAGCACAGCTTACCAGAGCCAGGCCAGCCTCCTTGCAGTGACCTCCCATCTCCTGGCCAGCAGGCCAAATTCCTCCTTTAGAATAATAAACAGTGTGGCCAGCCAGGGAGGCTGGGAGAGGAGGGGAAGAAGGCTAGGATGAACCCTCCCCCAGCCTGGGCTGCTAATGATTTTCTTTGGCCCACATCTCTGGCAGGAAGTGGGGAGCCAGAGGGGCACCCACTGAGGGGAAGATAGGCTTCTGTAGGGCCTCTTGGCTCTGTCTGGGTGCCTGATGCTGTCTGTGCTGTCCAAGGAGGCCTGGTGTCCAGCTGGAGGGGCCGGCACTGGAGGGATGTGAGGGGAAGGATTAAGAAGGGGGCATCAGGAAGGTTTTGACCAGTAATAATTCAGAGAGGGGAGACTTGGGGGCCGGGGTGAGGTTGGGCGCTGGGGCAGGCTGCCTGAAGGTAGGGTAAAGGAGGAAAAGTGGTCTGCAGAGTGAGTTTGTGCAGATTGCTTCTTCAGGCATTGAGCAGAGCTGGGGTGGGCCTTGCGTGTGTCTCATGCACCTTGTGTGACTATAACCCTCACTGGTGGTACATTCATCAGCTCCTTGCTGGCTGGAGGCTCTGTCCACAGACATGGGCTTGGAACGAGAGATGGCAATGGAGTTCATGAGACCTGACACCTCAGCCCTGGGTAGGAAACTAGAAAGGGCAACACGGTAGAGTAGGGACAAACACAGAAGGGATGGGCAGCCCCACAATCTCAGGATGCTCCCTGTTGCCTGTCACTTGATTGCCTCCTGTGTTTCTCCATCTGTGACTCTGACCATACCTGGCTATTGGTGATTGTTCGCTGATGAAGGGAAGGACCAGTCAAAGACTCACCGGTTACAATGTGTTTGTCTGTGTCCCTGCTTCAGCACCCTGTTTCTCAAACCTCCTCTCTGTCTTCCTTGGCTCCTACCATTCAACTCTGCTTCCCTCTTAGACTCTGTTGGGAACCTTGGGTAAACCTTCGCTCCTCAGAGCCTCAGTTTCCCCATATGGATGCTGAAGGTTTGGCTTCAGTGGTCTCTGAGAACCTTCAAAGCCCGATGAACTGGATGGGGCTGAGAACCTGGTCCCTCTCTCCTGGGCCTCCTGTGCAGCTCTGTGCTGAGTAGGGGGGCCAGCCCACTCCCACATTCCTTAGATCTCACCCCTCCCCCTCCCCACTTCCCTTCCCACAGACTCCCATTTCCTGTTGTGCTTGTGGAGGGAGCTGTGGGAGTTCTCCAGGCTCTGGCTCACCCCCTCCTACTCCTCCAGGCCTTTCATCACACTTTCCCAAATATTTGTCCTGGCAGATAAGTGCCTGGTATTGGAACTGTCACCCGGAGGACAGGCTGTCAGAGCTGGCAGTCCCCTAGCTAACCCAATTTCCTCCCCTCCAGGGTAACATATAGGGAAACTAAGGCCCATAGGCAAAGGACTCAGCCAAGGCCACATGAAAGTTGGAAACTGAAGGGAGAGGGCTTGGGGACCTGGATATCTTTGCAGCAGTGAGACATGATGTTGGATACCCAAGCTGAACTGACTCAGCAGGAACCAGGTCTGTGGTGGGCCTGGCACTGCCTTTGCCCACACTGGGCTCTGATCTCTGTTTACTTTTACAGGATACTATGGGGTTTCCAGGTGTGATGCCAGCTTCAGTCCTCAAAGGTAAGTAGGCTGGGGCAAGGATGAGGGCCCCTAGGATGCCCTAGGGAGCTGGTGGTGATGATGCTTGGTAGCACTGAGCCTTGAGAATCCGGAAGCTCCATAGTATGCTTGAGCCTCAGTTTCCCTGTGTTTGGAGATGGCCTGTGGAGGACTCCTTCAATTGCCCACCTATTAGCTCTTTTTAGACCCACTCAGTAGATCCCTCCCTCCTTGTCTAGAACCACCAGCTCAAGTTCCCTCTGCACCCACAGCCCCCTCTGAGACACCCTACTCTCCCCTCCCTCTGCAGTCCAGTTGGATAGCTGCCATAAGCTCTCCAAGGTTTGGGCAAATGCCCAGGCAACCAGCGATGGAGCCAGTGGCCTGCCCTAATGACCGTGGTTCGATGGCCCTGCTGACTGGCTGCACCTGTCCTCATTTTCATCACCAGGGAATGAGGGTTTGGCTTCTTAAAACCCTCCCTGTGAACACTGATGTGTAGTGGTGTGTAGCTGCTTCTCCCAGGTCTCTCCTCCAGGGGATGTCATGGGGGAAGTCACCAATCATCTGACATTCATATCTTAACCTCCACCCCCACCCCCATCCTTCAGGGGCTTCAGCATCTCATTGAACAGCTACAGAGAAGAGCCCTAGGGAGTGACCTAGACGGCTATGCAGGAACTGAAGGCCTGGGGATTGCTTCCACAGGATTTCCTGCCTCCTTCTCCGGCTTGCTGCCTATACATAGCATAGCTCAAGAGCTTAGAGTCCAGAATCAAATGAGCCAGGGACCTAGACAGGAGCCTTCGAAGGCCTGACAGTGGTCAAGCAGCCTGTATAGAATGGGAAGATATGTTCTTTAAGGATTTGGGAGCTATGCAGACAGGCCTCCAGGACAGCTCTGGGGGAGGGGCTATATTCTCTTTGCCCTGACATGCAAACCCTTCCTGCCCCAAAGGCCACTTGTTGCTGTCCCTGCTGTTGCTGCTGGCACCACAGTCCTGCCAAGGCCTAGTCATCATGCCCCCTGGGCCAGAGTTCATCCTCAACATCTCCAGCACCTTTGTTGTGACCTGCTCGGGTTCGGCTCCAGTGATATGGGAACAGATGTCCCAGATATCCTGGCAAGAAGCATCCATGAATCAGGATGGCACCTTCTCCAGTGTGCTGACACTGACTAATGTAACAGGGGAAGACACTGGGGAATACTTTTGTGCCTACAACAACTCCCTAGGGCCAGAGCTCAGTGAGCGGAAGCGTATCTATATCTTCGTGCCAGGTAAGAACACTAGCCTTGTGCCTGCCCCCTCACCCTCGTCTGCACAGCATTGAGTACAAAAGGAAGCTTTTGTGGACCTCATGGGCACTGTGAGATGCAGCTATGTGACACAGGCAAAGAGCAGCATCCAGTGTGGCTCAATGCAGGAGCTGATCATTCCACCCACCCTCTGCCCTCTCCTGGCCATCTCCCACTCTTGCCTTCCAAGAATTGTGCATTCTCGGCTCATCCCAACCTGTCCCTTTTGGCCCCCATATCCCACGGCTCTGTCCTCTGAGCTCCAGGTGCAGCTACTCTTTAGTTCATGACTTTTCACCCCCTCACTCCAACTCCAGTACGGTCAGCATTAAATGAAGAGCAGGAAACAGCCCCCGAGAACGTGTCCCTTAGTCCCATTATACTACTCTAACAGAAGACGGAGACTATTTATAATGAACAGAATTGATCAGCACACAGTTCTGGAGGCAGGAGCCAGCATCTGGCAAGAATTCTCTCTTTTTTCTCCCTCTTCTCTCTTCCCTGGGGGTAGGTTGCCCATGTAGCCGCGTGTAATCCAGGTTGGCCTCAAACTAATAGAAATCCATCTGCCTCTGCCTCCTGGGTGTGCTGGGATTGAAGGTATGCATCAACTCACTCAGCATCTTTTCCTTTATTCCTGAGGCAATGTCTACTTGTTATATGGCCAAAGATGACCTTGACCCTCTGATACTTCTTCCTGTACCACCTGAGTGCTGGAATTACAAGCGTGCACTACTATCACGCCTCTTTTTTCATGCTAGGCAAGCAGTCTGCCAGTTGAGCTACATCCCGGGCCCCAGCAAAAGGCTTCCTGCAACTTTATACCCTAGAAAAGGCAGAAGGGCTGGAGGGGCTGAACTTCTGCTTCTGTGATGGCATCAGTCTATGAAGCCTTCATGGTTAATCCCTCCCCACTGTTTTCTTTTTGGTGCTGGGGATTGAAACCAAGGTCTTGCATACTAGGCAAGGACTTCACTGGACCTTTGTATTGTGATTATTTTAATTAGTTAATAATTTTTACTTACGTGTATGTGAATGTACCATGGTGTGTGTGTGTGTGTGTGTGTGTGTGTGTGTGTGTGTGTGTGTGTGTGCACGCGCCAGCCACATGAAAGCCGAAAGAGGCTGTTGGATCCTCTGGAGCTGGAGTTACAGGCAATGGTGAATTACCTGAAGTGGGTATGAGGAAATAAATTCAAATTCTCTGGAAGAGGAAGCAAGTGCCCTTAATACCTGAGCCATTTCTCTAGTTCTTACTGTTATTATTATTTTTTTAAACTTTTTAATTTTTATTTGCTCATTTTTAAAAAGATTGATTTATTTATTATGTATACAGTGTTCTGTCTGCATGTCAAAAGAGGGCACTGGATCTCATTACAGATGGTTGTGAGCCACCATGTGGTAGTTGGGAATTGAACTCAGGACCTCTGGAAGAGCAGCCAGGGCTCCTTTAACATCTAGAATCCGCTTCACAAGTAGCTGGGACTATAGGCCTTCACCACCCAGCCCGGCTGACAATTATCATTTAAAGACCCTACCTGTAAATACTGTTACAATGGTAATTACATTTCAATGCAGTTTGGAGGGGACCAACATTAGAGTTACAGCAGCAATCCTTATTCTGTATTGAAGTGACTGGGGGCCAGAGATGGGAAGACTGCTCAAAGCCAAACAGCAATTCACCAGCCAGCATGGCTGCCATTAAACACCATGACCAAAAGCAATTCGGGAAGGGAAAATTTTATCCATTTCACATCTTCTAATGCATCTGGAAGAGAAGTCAGACCAGGAACCTGGAGGCAGGGACTGAAGGAGAAACCATGGAGGGACGCTGCTTACTGGCTTGCTTCTCATGGCTTGCTCAGCCTGCTTTCTTATAACACTCAGGAGGGGCACCACCCACGGAGGGGCACATTCCCACACCAATCGCTAATCAAGAGAAAGCCCCCAGACAATGTGATGGAGACATTCTCTCAACTGAGGTTCCTTCTTCCCAGGTGTCTATAGCTTATGGCAAGTGGGCAAATCACTAACCAGGACATTCATTCCTTGGCTCTGCTCCTGACAGACCCCACCATGGGCTTCCTCCCTATGGATTCCGAGGACCTATTCATTTTTGTTACGGATGTGACTGAGACGACAATTCCATGCCGGGTGACGGACCCCCAGCTGGAGGTGACACTGCATGAGAAGAAAGTAGACATCCCCCTCCACGTACCCTATGACCACCAGCGTGGTTTCATTGGCACTTTTGAGGACAAGACTTACATCTGCAAAACCACCATTGGGGACAGGGAAGTGGACTCCGATACCTTCTATATCTACAGCCTCCAGGGTGAGCCCCCTTTCTGTCCCTTTACAGAGGAGACAGCCCCTCAGTTTACTAGGTGTATGGCCCCATATTTCAGTGGATTCTCCTGTAGTTTTGGGAGTGAGCTCCCAAGGAAACTAAGGCTCATAGAAAGGATGGTCTGGGCTTCATAAGGTGGAAGCAAACACACAGGCTTGGAGCCAGTTGGGTTTGAATCCCAGCTTGGCTACTTCCCATTTGGGCCACTCTGTGCAAGATACATGGTACCCGAGAACCTGACTCTCTTGCCTCCCATAAGATGAGGGAGATGATGACTGCCTTCCTCACAGATTTTAGGGAAGGCAAAATAAAAGAGACTGAGATGCCCAGCATGTAATAAGTGCTTGGTAAATGTCCCTGCACTTAGATTCTCAGAGAATTGTGGTATCTAAGATGGCTGTCCTATTGTCATCTCCATGAAGAAAGACATTTTGTCTGTGGTGTTCACTCCTCTAGCCCCAGTGTCTAGAACAGTGCTTGTGTATAGTAGTGTTTAATTATTATTCATAGAACCAATGAATGAATCATTCACAAGAGCAGACTCACTCCCATTCCCCAAGCCTAGTGCTGGAGGCTGGTGATGACCTCCCTGGTCCTAATCCAATTTCCTCACCCCACTCCAGTGTCATCCATCAATGTCTCCGTGAATGCAGTACAGACTGTGGTCCGCCAGGGTGAGAGCATCACCATCCAGTGCATTGTAATGGGAAATGATGTGGTCAACTTCCAGTGGACATACCCCCGAATGAAGGTAATGCTAGGCAAGGCTTGGAAGGGTAGACATCTCAGCTCACATTGGATTCTGATTTGGGGATTTGTCTTTGCAGAGTGGGCGGCTGGTGGAGCCGGTGACAGACTACCTCTTTGGAGTGCACTCCCGAATTGGCTCCATCCTGCACATCCCCACAGCTGAGCTGAGTGACTCGGGAACCTATACTTGCAATGTGTCAGTGAGCGTGAATGACCATGGAGATGAAAAGGCCATCAACATCACTGTGATCGGTGGGTGCCTTAGACTCAGCCCTCTAGCATACCCTGTGGCACAGACTCTGGAGATTGTGTCAGTATTAGACCCAAACAAAGTGTAGCATCAGCCCCAGACCTAACTCTAGGTCCAACCTAGACTTCCCACATAGCCAGACTCCTTGTTCATTGTCCACCCCATTGACAGTCAACATCTGTACTAATTTGAAATTCCAGTCTATAAAATACAGCCAGAACAGAAAGCTTCAACTTCAGTCCCAACCTCAGCACCAACCCCAATATGATTAGCAACAATTTTTACCCTTGTTTCAGTTCCAGCCCAAGCTTGAACTCCCGCTCTGCTGCCTGAAGAAGAACTTCCCCCTAGAAGGTGCTTCTCTGGCCTTTAGTTGGTACAGGTCTCCAGGAACACTCCACTAGCAAGACCCACACCCTCACTGGTGTCTGGCATAGCCCCGCCCACAGGGCCCACCCTTGACTGTTGTGTACCTTCACAGAGAGTGGCTATGTGAGACTGCTGGGAACACTGGGTGATGTACAAATTGCTGAGCTGCACCGGAGCCGGACATTGCAGGTGGTATTCGAGGCTTATCCACCACCCACTGTCCTGTGGCTCAAGGACAACCGTACCTTGGGTGACTCCAGCGCCGGTGAGATGGTTCTGTCTACCCGCAACGTGTCTGAGACCCGGTGAGCACCAGCTAGTCCACATCTCAGGGCCTTCAGACACCAAACCTAGGTCCTCTTTGTCTGAGTCTGCTGTGTGTTAGGCACATGCCAGCTGCCAGGGATGCTGCAGGACCAGAGCAAGCTACTCTGCCCCTCCTGGAGCGGGAAGTGGGTTGGCCACTTAGAGATTTAGTTATCTTTGTAATAAGTTGAGCTGGCAGGTGACAGCCAAAAGCAAAAGGACTGGATGGAAAGCGGGTGTCCCTGAGGCTAGAGAGCAGCAGACTGACAAGTCTGTGCCCCTCTGAAAGGGATGAGCTGTGGAGAGAGGGCACTGGTGCTTCCCAAGCCTTCCTCTTAGCTTAGTGGAACTGCCTGTGGGTGGGGATTCAGGACCCTGGGTGTCAATCATGCCTCTGCTGCCATCACCCATATGACCTTGGCAAGCGTATCCCTTCCCTCAGCACACTATTGGAAGGTGAGGATGCTTTAGGGGTTCCTGAAGTTCTGAACAAAGTCCCCTGGCCTGACCTACTCCATAGGTATGTGTCAGAGCTGACTTTGGTACGTGTGAAGGTGGCAGAAGCTGGCTGCTACACTATGCGGGCCTTCCATGAGGATGCAGAGGCCGAGCTCTCGTTCAAGCTGCAGGTCAATGGTAAGCTTCACTTCCCTTTCCTGCTCTCTCCTCCTCCTTTCCTCCCTCCATCCCATTCAATCACCCCTGTTCCTTTCTTTGCCCATCCACCCATGGGAGAGGCTGGAAACAAGGAGACTACATTCTAGACAGCTGATCTGGTGTGTCCCCTCTCTGGGCCTCAGTTTCCCCAGCTGCAAAGGATGACCATCAGATTATATCGGTGTTCCCCAAATCTGATCTATTAATGTACCAGTAACACAATTTTACTTCTCATGTACAATTCATACTTTGCTGAGTAATTTCAATATGGCAGTCTGTTCAGAGTACTATGTCTTATAGTTTGCATCCTAGTGGGGGAAGACAAATAGTAAAGGAGGAATTCCCAGCAAAACCAAAAAAGGTTAGAAGACAACCAGTAACTGTAGGGGGTGGGAGAGGAGGTAGAGAGACAGAACACACACAGAGACACAGACACACACACACACACACACACACGGAAAGAGCCTGGCATGCAGGTAGTGAGGGCTGCACACACACACACACACACACACACACACACACACACACACACACACACACACACACGGAAAGAGCCTGGCATGCAGGTAGTGAGGGCTGTGGTTTTCAAGGTGGTGATCAGGGTGGGCCTCATTCTGGAGGTGACAATTGTGAGAAGTCTTGAAGAAGGGGGAAGACATTAGACAAGTAGATGTTTGGAGAAGGGCACTCCAGATCATGTGTCTCCCCTTATCACATTGCCAGAGAAATAGCAGGAAGGTCAGTGTGGCCAGAACAGAGAGCATTGGCATATATGAGGTCGGAGCAGAAATGGAGGGGGGATGGGGAGGAGGGAGGAGGACGGAGGGGGGATGGAGGGGGTACTTGGGTGAGTGTCTGTGGGCTTAGTACAGCTTTGGCTTCTGTTGTTACTGAAATGAAAAGTTATGATAGGGACTTGAGCATAGAAATGACATGATAAAGACTTAATGTTTTGTCAATTAGCTTTCTAAAAATAAGTCTATTTTGAAAGACAAAATTTAGCATCTCAGTTGTAGATGGAAACTCAGGGTCATATGCCATAAATATAAAACAACCACTAAAATAAATTCAGAGAGAACAAAACAATGCTGTCTAAGTCTAGCTTCATGAGCCTGGCTGCCCAGGGCCCTGAGCTCTGGGTCTCTTCTCTTTGTTAAGAGAAGAGACAGTCTCAGAGTGATGTTAAAGGCAGGCTCTGAGCTTTGCCCTTTGAAGTACTGAGAGGAATCTGCCACTTTTCACACTGTGACTCCTGGTGTCTGATGTGCCTCTGCAGTCCCCTGCCTGGAGGTGGAGGGGGGAGGTGACTCTGGAACATGTTCCCCTGAGGTCTGTTCTGACCACCTCACTTCCTCACCCTATTTCTGTCTGTTCAGTCCCTGTCCGTGTGCTGGAGCTGAGTGAGAGCCACCCTGCCAATGGGGAGCAGACAATCCGCTGTCGTGGCCGGGGCATGCCTCAGCCAAATGTCACCTGGTCTACCTGCAGAGATCTCAAAAGGTGAGCACACCTGAGCCCCAGCCTCCCAGAGTACCCACAGCTGCCTAGAATGACCCAGTGTAGGCTAACCTAAACCAACATCTTCCCCCTGAGAGGCCCAGGCCACATCTTAGATCAGTCCTCTGCCTTCCTGGAGATACTGTGCGTAACCTAAAAAAATGATCCTTTTCTTACCTTGACCCTGAGCCATCCTCAACCCAGGAAGGTGCAGGGTCTGGCCCCCAGAGGGGTCTAATTCATGCAGTGGTTGTTCTATACCTCCGACCAGAGCTGATTGTAGCAGATATAGATGGGTTGAGGGTCAAATGAGTGAATTTTGCCATTCAGGAGTCTCAGTTCTGGAGTAGGGAGCTCCCCCTGCTGGTCCATCCAGACAACACAGTAGAAACCTGATTAAGGACCAAGCCATCATGGAAATTAAGCGTGTTTCCACTTTACACCACCACTTGCTGACACAGCCTGCTATGAGCCTTAGTTTCCCCATCTGCAGAGGGAGAACTAAGAGAGGCTGTGTGCCAATCTCCTTGTGTCTCCTGGCAGGTGTCCACGAAAGCTGTCACCCACACCCTTGGGAAACAGTTCCAAGGAGGAGAGCCAGCTGGAGACTAATGTGACCTTCTGGGAGGAAGAACAGGAATATGAGGTGGTGAGCACGCTGCGCCTGCGCCACGTGGATCAGCCACTGTCAGTACGCTGTATGCTGCAGAACTCAATGGGCAGAGATTCACAGGAGGTCACCGTGGTACCACATTGTGAGTGCCCCAGCCTCGGGTGACTCTAATGACCGACCTCTCACCCCTTCCTTGATCCTGCTGTCCCGAGCCTGTGTGCCCTAAGTGGGTCAAGTGAGCATGCTCACAACCCTATGGTGGCATGACAAAACCCACTAGGGTATGCCCCTATACACACACACAATATATGACGTGGACACAAGTGCATAAACAAACATGAGACAGGTGGAAAGTGAACTGGTGTGCATGATGTATGTTGCAAACTCTGAACATGAGTAGGCTGATCTTGGGACTTGGGTGTACACTCTTCATGTGTACATGCAATCTGTGCTGAGGATGCTTAATCCCCTGAGTACACACATGTTAGCATGTACTCAAGCATGCACAATGCTGTCCATGTATATAAAACTGCAGGATATATTTTTGGAAGCTGTGTGTATAAGCCTGCCCAAATCCAAGACGTATGAAATCTAAAAAAAGAATGTCTATATGCTTGAACATGTGGGAGCACAAGCCTCACATGTGTATACATGTGTATAAATCATGCATGTACAATTCTGTGCACGTGTGAAAATTGGCATTACATATCTGTACTCACATAATTGCAATGCATAAAGCATAAAAAAAGCACTAAGCACAATGCTGTACACATATACCTCTAGATAATGTGTGACCCTTAGCAGGTTCACATATATGATTGTTGCATACGTGAACAGTGCTTGCCAGAGTCCAGATGTGTGTCCATGTCTCTCACTCATGCTTGCCTGCACATGTGAAACTCACTAGGGTACAGAGGCCAATGGGCCAGTCCAGAGGAAGGAGGCAGACAAGGGAGGGAACCAGCCTGCGCCAGATCACTACTTCCAGGGAGCAGCCCTGAGAGGAAAGAGGCCCTATGCTAACCTTGGGGTTGAGGAAATATCCCAAGAAAAAGAAGCTTTACATCAAATACCAATAGATGACTAGGTGTTAGCCTGTGAAGGCATGGTGTTGCAGCCAAGGAGGCCTGTGGTAGAGCCTAGAGGTAGAGCAAGTTCTGAGAAGTTCAAGGAAACCAGACTGTCTGGAAGGCAAACTGTATGTGGATTTAGGGTGGGGGGGGAGGGTAATGGGGAAGGAAGTGGTAAGGAGTGGGGCTACAGGATACAGAAGTCAGAGAAATCAGAGCTTCAAAAGACATCTTGTACATAGACAGACAGACAGACACACACACACACACATACTCTCACACACTCACACACTCCCCCCCTCAGGTGGCCACACGCAGCCTTGCACATGTTTGTCTGTGTACATACCTGTCACCTGCCCTTAGATGAGTGAGCTTTTTAAATATCCTTATTAGGGCTGGATAGACGCCTCGGAGCTTAAGTGTGCTTGCCGCTCTTCCAAAGGACCTGAGTTCCATTCCCAGCACCCATGTCAAGGGGCTCATGGCCACCTGTAGCTCCAAATCCCAAATCACATGGATTTAATGCTTTCTTCTGGTTTCCATCAGCATCCACACATATGTCATTCAGGCGTACAATTGCACACATACACACATATAAAAAAAGTAAAATAAATATTTAAAATAAAATGCCCTTATTTCCCCACACTCTCATATAGGCACACATATCCCTGAGCAAGTGGGCACAACAGAGTGTGTACAGCCTGCCATATAGACCCACTGTGGGCCTGAGTAAAGGCAGAATGAAAGACACTGTGTGGCATCTGGCCAGGACACTGTGTACTGTTACACAGAGACCTGGGATGACTCTGATGGACCCCTGGAGGGTACATGCTCACTTTGCAAGACCAGGATGTGGGGCTGTTGGGAAGAGAGGACCAAGATATCAGGCAGTGACCCTAAGAAGGAAAGGGTGTGGAGTAAGTCAGAGGAAGGCTCCCTGGGGAACCGAGGAGGGCAGGAAGGGGACATAGGAGGAAGAAGCAAGTTCCCAGAAGACAACAGCTATTACTAAGGAAGGCCAGGGGCCGAGGCTCAGGGGGCCAGGGAGTCCTGCATGTTCACCTCAGTGTCCTGGGCAGTGTACTCTATGACTGCCCTACCACACACCCCAGCTGGTCCCCAGGGTCGGGCTGGAGGAACAGATGCCTTTCTGATAGGGATTCATCAGGACACTGAAATTCAGAGTCTGCTCCTTCAGGCAGCCACCCAGTGAGTGCCTTGGCCATTTGGTTAGGAATGGCACTTAAATCTATGACGCAGGCATGACAGTCCAACAGGGAATGGGCCTGGAAGAGAGGAGGGCATGGCCTGGTCCCCAAGGTGCTGAGTGCTGTGAGAGGCACAGACAATGCTCAGGAACAAAAAGAGGGTTTCCAGAGCCTAGCAGGGGATACAGAGGCCAGCCTGAGCCTGGCTGTGATCTGAGCAAGGAGTCGATGAGGTAATGCCAGAGGATGGGCCCTGAGGCGAGCTATCTAGGCAGTGAGGACGTATGCGCCAGGCAGAATAAGTCTGATGGATCTGTGATGCCCACAGTGAGATGGGGAGAGCAACTACCAGTCACTGCTTATGCGTGCTCTTTTCTCTGTCTTCAGCCCTACCCTTCAAAGTGGTGGTGATCTCAGCCATCCTGGCCTTGGTGGTCCTCACCGTTATCTCTCTCATCATTCTCATCATGCTGTGGCAGAAGGTAAGCACCTCTAGCCTATAGGTGCAAAGTAGCACTCATATTTCCTCACAGTCTACACTGAATGGCATACAATGTGGGCCCAATGTGGAGCTCAGCTGGGAGCTGACTCAGAGCAACACTGGGTCCCCATCTCCCTCCATCCACAGCAGGCTGAACTGACCTGGGTCTGATGCAAGTGGTCCAGGACTCCTGGGCCCTGCTCTTTCCTCTGCGTAGGTCTTTCCTGGTCAACCCAGTTGTGGGACAAATGGCACTTTGTGGGTGGATTCCACAGAGACTCCTATGAGTCACTAGAATGCAATCTGACCCCACAAATCTAGTTCCAATGCTCTATTCTGACATTTTCCCACCCTGTAGCTCCAAATGCTCATGATTCCTGAACTGGGACTTTAGTACCCCTTCACCCTGTCACTGTAAGATTCCAGTCCTGTGACTCTAGCATCCTGAGATTTCCACATCCAAAGGCTGCATCGTTTGAGATCCCACAGAGACAGACCTGTGTGGTCACTTACTGGGTAACCTGCCCTTCCCATCTGAGGAGTAACTGGGCTCAGAGAGAAGCTGATGGAGCAGCTCCACTGAGTGAGGACTGCTCTGCTGGCTGCTCTCCTGAGGCTCTCCCTCAGGGTTTCTCAGCTACACCTGCCACCTGCTGGGGCCCCTTAGTGCCAGCTGCCTTGAGCTTATGGAAACCTTGGTTTTGCTGGCCACTCATTGTATCACTTCAAATATGTTCCTGTCCTCTCTTGATCTCAGAGTCTCCTGTCTGTCCCATCTACTATCTAAGGGCTGGACCTGATAGGCTCAAGGCCAAAGATGCCCTCTGACCAACCAGCTCATCTGTTGGTCTTGTCCTGCAGAAACCACGCTATGAGATCCGATGGAAGGTGATTGAGTCTGTGAGCTCTGATGGTCATGAATACATCTACGTGGACCCTGTGCAGTTGCCTTATGACTCCACCTGGGAGCTGCCACGGGACCAACTTGTGCTCGGTCAGTCCTAAGAGGTCTTCTGTGGCAATGGGGACCCTGAGATCTGTTCCCAGTATGGCTGCTACTAGCTGAGGCCCAGCCAGGGCTGATATCTTGCCTTCACTGGCTCTTAGCATTCTTTCTATATAGTGAAGATGATCCCTGATATCACGGAAGCCCTAGGAACCCATGACTGATATATGGGACCCCTCCAGGCCAAAGAGGAAGTACTGGAGATAGTCAGGGAGTCTGAGGAAGGTGCAAAGGAGTTGTGATTCTCTGAAGAGGCAGGAGGTCTTCCTGGAACTCCGGGGAGGCAGACAGCAGGCAGGAGCTAGATGAGATTCAAAGGATGGGAGCTTCCTGAGGGGCCACATAATGAGGTGGTTGGAGGGACGTGGAGGATGACCTGAGAGAATAATCCTCCATTCTGAGCGGGAAGATGCGGTGAGGCTTCTAGTTCCCAGGAGCTGAGGGTTTCTATCCATCCTAGGACGCACTCTAGGCTCTGGAGCCTTTGGACAGGTGGTAGAGGCGACGGCTCATGGCCTGAGCCACTCACAGGCCACCATGAAAGTGGCTGTCAAGATGCTGAAATGTGAGTCTTACAATGTGATCCAGCGCCCACCCCTTCCTCACACCCTGGGCCCCACTCCGCCTCACCCCTCCCTGAACATTTGGTTTCTTCTGAAGGACCTGGTCCTGAATTTGTGGGACAGAAAGGCCCCTTCCTCACTGTGACCTCCCTCTTCGGATTCCTCCTCCTCTTTCCTTCCATCTTCTCCCCACTCCAGTGAGGTCCTCACCACCCTAGGACACTAGTCCTACAACAGGGAGGGACAGAGGAGCCAGGGTAGGCCCTGGTAGGGCCTCTATTCTGTCTCAGTAGCCTGCCCAGGCTGATTCCCTCTCCCTCCTCAGCGACAGCCCGAAGCAGTGAAAAGCAAGCCCTCATGTCAGAGCTGAAGATCATGAGCCACCTGGGGCCCCACCTAAACGTCGTCAACCTGCTGGGAGCCTGTACCAAAGGAGGTGCGCAAGCCACACCCCGGGGGACTCTGGGGTTCCTCTCTCTTGTTCTCATTCAGCCCACCAGCGATAGGACACCCCTGCTGGCGTGTCCCCACACCTGCTGCCCAGCACATTTACTTCACCATCCCAGATGGGCTCAGTTTTAGAAATCCAGAACCACGATCCCTTCGTGGCAGAGATTCTTCAGGCCACTAGTTCCAGCAGCTTCCAGACGCAAGCCTCTCCAGACATTATGTTTTTTTCTTCAGGTTCTTAAATTTTATGTGAGTGGGTGTTTGCCTGTGTGTCTGTGTCTGTGTCTGTGTGTGTGTGTGTGTGTGTGTGTGTGCGCGTGCACGTGCCTGGGGCCTGAGGAGGCCAGAAGAGGGCATCGGATCTGGATCCTCTGGAACTGGAGTTACAGATGGTTGTGAGCCATCATGTAGGTGCTGGGTATTAAACCAGGGCCCTCTGCGAGAGCAACAAATACTCTTAACCAATGACCACCTCTCCAGCCTCCGTTTCTGTGTTTTCACAATATATTTTGAAAACCATGAGAAAGTAACAGCTTCTAAAACTCAGAAATAGCAGAGCCCATCAGTGAGCTAGCTGACCAGGAGCTGGGTTTTGTTCACATGGCTGTTGAAAGTCATTGCCCAACTGTATTTATGTGAGGGTTTGGCTACCCATTGGGCTGTCGACATAGTAATAGTAGTGAAGTTATTGCCATTTGCAGCTGCCTGTTGTGAGATCTGGGATTTTCCTCGGTATTGTGTAATCGATCTAAATACGGAAGTACATTGCACACAGACTGTTGTCCGTGCCTGCAGTGAACATATTTCAAAAGTGTTGTTTTCATCCGTTGGATGGCTTTAAGTGCATTGAACTCAAATGTAACTGGCAAATTGTGCTGACAGTCACATTTACCTGCTTTGTGTAGACCAGAATCCAAGTCTGAAAACAGCAGCAGCAACTGATGTGCTAGGCTTGCCACGGGCTCAAAGGCATCACCTCAGGGGTCTTCATGTCAGCCCCAGGAGTGGGTGTTGTTAGCCCCTGGCTAGCTGGGCAAAGGAAGGGCCTGTGAGACTGAGAACTCGCAGTCACAGAGGGCAGGGAGAGGACCCAGGTTTGCCAGGCGCCCAGCCTCTTTGCCGCCTTGTCTTCTGTCCCTCCACTCCCAAGCCTCTTACTGGCCTTGTGGCCATACTGGGCAGAATGAGGCCTGCCCCAGAGTCTGTCCCTAAGCCTGTCCTTCTGCAGGACCCATCTACCTTATCACCGAATACTGCCGCTATGGTGACCTGGTGGACTACCTGCATCGCAACAAGCACACCTTCTTGCAGCGCCACTCCAACAAGCCCCGCCCACCCAGTGCTGAGCTCTACAGCAATGCCCTGCCAGTGGGGCTCCCCCTGCCCAGGTATGAGGGAGGCAGCACCCAGTGAGTACCTGCCAAGCATATGGCACTCCTTGTCCAGAAGTCCAAAGATGAGGGTGCGGTCACTAGGACAGAGCCACTTTCCCGAAGCCAGGGCTGTAGCCAGACAGGTGATGGTGGCGCTAGAGAGAGGGTCAGCTGTCACTGCCATGTGATCTCAGGGGCACAGGCTCCATCCTGGGCCTTTTGTAGATGTGACTCCTTGAACCCACATACCACACTGTGTCACGAGTGTCTTGTTGTTCTCTTGCTGCGAACTAGGCTTCCAGCCTTAGCCTCCTGCCCTCCACAAGCCAGCCTCCCCAGGCCCCTACTGGCGATTCAACTCCTGTTTCTGATTATTTCAAAAGGAACATTTCTTATTTTGTGTCTGTTTGTTGTTTTTAATTTATTTATTTTTATTTTATTAGTGTTTTGCATACATGTATGTCTGTATGAGAGTGTTGGATTTTGGAGTTACAGACAGCTGTGAGCTGCCATGTGGGTGCTAGGAATTGAACCCCAGTCCTCTGGAAGAGCGGTCAGTGCTCTTAACAGCTGAGCCATCTCTCTCTCTCTGCCCCCCTTACTTTTTTTTTTTCCTTTTTTGTTTGTTGATTTAAAAAGCAAAGAGAAGAATATCTGTTTTTGGAAAAGTATACACAAGGATATGAAAATGTGCCCAGACCTCTCTAACACGGCAACCCTTTTCCTTGCACACGTGTGCTTGGTCCCACTACTCCCTGGGCAGCTAGGGCTGTACCCGAGGGGTCCAGTTGAGGCCTTGTTGCCACCATAGACTATGCACCTCCCAGCTCTGTAGGCAGCGGTAGGTGCTGGAAAGGCCCAGAAAGGAGCTTCTCTGCAGAGCCATGTATGACCCTTGTCCTGGCTGCTGAATACTCCCGGGAATGAACTCTGAGAACACATACTGGGTCTTATATCATCCTGGAGCCCCAGGGTCCAGGTCAGGGCCATACAAGTTAGTTGAAAGGGTTAGAGTCAGTCATTTGTATTGTGACAGACCATAGGACAGTGGGGGCAGTGGTGGAGGAAATCCACAGATGATTTCCCATGGGCTCAAGCTGAGCAAGGGACAGGAACAGGAGGGAAGGAAAATCCATGCCGTTCCCTGTCTCCATCCTCTCCCCTACAGCCACTTGTCCCTGACTGGGGAGAGTGATGGTGGCTACATGGACATGAGCAAGGATGAGTCTGTGGACTACGTGCCTATGCTGGCCATGAAAGGAGACATCAAGTATGCAGACATTGAGTCCTCCAGCTACATAGCCCCTTACGACAACTATGTCCCATCTGGTAAGTGGATATACTACTGTCACATGTGTGTAAGCCCGTCCCATATGCCCAGTGATGCCTCCTCAGTCTTGTACAACCCTGGGAGGAAGCTGAGGCTACCTGCCTGCCCAGGGCTGCAGTGCAATGGAGCCCTGGTTCCAGAAGCATGCATGCTGCCGGCAAGAAGGGGAGAGCCGGGTGAAGGTGGCCTCCTAGGGCCTGAGGAAGAGAGATGGGCTCTGAGTTGGCCCCATGATTATCTAATGTCCCGAGAAACAGGCAGGCCAGTGTTAGCTAGTGGCCTTGGGGCTAAGGCTTTTCTTGTCAGTGAGGTCAGGGAAAGCTGAAATGGTTTGGGTTAGACACCTAAGAACTCGTTCTCCTAAGGGAACACTTAGAAAATCAGTAGCTGCTTGTATTGAACACTCAGCCACCTGCAAGCCTAAAGGCAGGGGTCTTCTAGGCCTGTGGTATACACACAGTAACCCATAACCCTCTGTGCTCTCTAGCCCCTGAAAGGACATATAGGGCCACCTTGATCAATGAGTCACCAGTGCTTAGCTACACAGACCTCGTGGGCTTCAGTTACCAGGTGGCCAACGGCATGGAGTTCTTGGCCTCTAAGAACGTAAGTGTGGTCTTGATGGGGGAAGGCAGAATTGTGGTGAGAGGGGTCATCTAGCCAGACTCCCCCACATTTATGACCCTGTGAGACAGCTCCCTACCCTCCCTCTCGTGGGTAGGACACTGAGAAACCTCACATCCGAGCAGGCACATGTTTTTCCTAAAGCCCTGGCCCAGAGAGTTTTCTCCCACAGTTCCCCCTTAGCCTCAGCTCCTCTCTTCTCTGACCCAGTGTGTTCATCGGGACCTGGCGGCCAGGAATGTGCTCATCTGCGAGGGCAAGCTGGTCAAGATCTGTGACTTTGGCCTGGCTCGGGACATCATGCGGGACTCAAACTACATCTCCAAAGGCAGTGTGAGAACTTTCACCCTCCATGGGTTTGTCCCCAGGTGCCTCTGACCCTGGGTACAGATTTCCCCTGATCCATGTAGCTACAGCTCTGTATGGGGCCACTGGTGGCTTATCGTACCAGCAGAGATGTCAATGCTGCCCATCTATGAGCAGGGACAAGACAAGGAAGCTAGCTTTGTGCACAGTGATGAGAGACAGGGAGAGGGTTAGGACCACTGTCACAGCAGGGGCTGAGGGTTTTGGTCTAGACAGCCCTGTTTTAGGAGATGTAAGGTATAGGAGCAGAGGAAAGAACTCAGAAGATGTGGTAAGATAGGTAAGTCTTGAACCCAGAGATAGAAGAGCGGCAGATACCAGAGACCAAAGAGAACTCCTGGACATGCTCATGGCTGCTCATTTCTATGGATAGTGCACCCGGGGAGCTTCTCGCAGGAACATGGCTGCCATGTCTCTAGCTAGTGAGTTAAGAAACACCCTCTTCCCAGCGCTCTGGCCAGGAATGTGCTTAGACCCTTAGAGTGGGGTGAGATGGAATTGGTGTGGGAGCTTCTGGGTCTCCTCATTTCCAGGTGTGGTGGGGCTGAGAGACTGGCCACTGGGACCCTCCATGCACTCAGTGCCTATTTTGCCTCTGCAGACCTTCCTGCCTCTGAAGTGGATGGCCCCAGAGAGCATCTTCAACAGCCTCTACACCACCTTGAGTGACGTGTGGTCGTTCGGGATCCTGCTGTGGGAGATCTTCACACTGGGTGAGCCACTTCTCCCAGCCCCAAGCTAAACATCAGACCATCTGTCCTCCTGCTCCCTCCTCCCTCCTTATTGCTCCTCAGGCTAGAAGCAGGGGACTGTGGAACAGACACTGGAACATGAGCAGGGGTGCAGGGAAAGTCCAGACTCTGCCACTCTCCATTGTATGGTGTTGGCAAGGCCTTTGCTGACTCTGGGTCTCTGTCCCATCCAAGCATCAAAGGGGTTTAGACATAGTGAAAAATCATGCTTAAAGCCAGCTATAATAATGTACATCTGTAATCCCAGTACCTGGAAGTCAGGAAGATGAAAAGTTTGAGGCCAGCTTGGACTACACAGAGACTCCATCTTTGAGAAACAAAATAAACACAGACTCAAACCCTGCTTGGGTATCTATTGTTTCTCTAGTTTCATCCCTATTTCTAATGCCAAGGGCATTGTATTCTCATATACACCAGTACTGTGTGCCTGGAAAGACACCCTGTGACTTCCCACACCTTGAGACAATGATGTCCCTGTCTCTGTTCCATGACAGGTGGCACCCCTTACCCAGAGCTGCCCATGAATGACCAGTTCTACAATGCCATCAAGAGGGGCTACCGCATGGCCCAGCCTGCTCATGCCTCTGATGAGATGTGAGTGGAGCCTTGTACACTTGGGAGGAATGTCAGGGTTCAGAGGGCACGCAACTCTACCTCAGAGGTTAGACCAGTCCTGCTAGAACCGGATCAAGGTGTTCAAAACGACGCCATCAGGAAGTTCTGTCCCAGTCAAGATCTCCACTGTCTCAACGCTGGTTTCAAACTCAAGCCTGTCCTGCTCACGTGGCTGCCATTAGCACCACCCTGGCCCCTTAGCTCTTGCATTGCTCCAGCAAAAGACCCAAAGCTGACATTTATTTATTTATTTTTAAATTTTAAGTGTGTGAGTGTTTTTGCCTGTATGACTGTGTGTGCATTACATCCATGTCTGATGCCCTCAGAGACCAGAAGAGGGTGTCAGTCCTTTGGAACTGGACTTACAGATAGCTGTGAACCAGCATGTGCATGCTGGGAATCGAACCCAACTACTCTGCAAGAGCAACAAGTGCTCTTAATAGTTGAGCCATCTCTCCAGCCCCACCCAGAACTGAACTTTAAGGGCTCAGTTTGGTCACATACCATCATAACCAGGCCTGAACTGGGCAGATGAAAGTCCCTATTAGCCAAATTCATGTCACATGCTCACCATGGCGTTCGGGGCACAGAATCACGTGGTTGAGGGAAGCCGGGAAGACTTCCCAAGGGATCAGTGAGAAGCAATGGTGGTGTTAACAAGGCCCCAGGCTGCTGCTCCTCAGCATCTTTCCCTTCACCTTGCTCTGAACCTTACTGTATGTCTCTAAGGTAGAGACTCTGACCCTCTCTCTGCCTCCTTCAGCTACGAGATCATGCAGAAATGCTGGGAAGAGAAGTTTGAGACTCGACCACCCTTCTCCCAGCTGGTGCTGCTCCTGGAGAGGCTGCTGGGTGAAGGTTACAAAAAGGTACGTGGAGACAAGTCGGGGTGGGTGACAGTTCTGGTCCAAACCCTGTGCTCTGGGCTTGCAGTGATGTGCTGGTATTTGGGAGGAAATTCTCTTCCCACGCGTTGGGCCTCAGTTCCCTTGCTGCTACTAGAAAGAGTCAGGCCAGAGCTATGAATTTATTTTAATAGAACCAAGATGTAGAAGCTTATGAATTTGACCCAGGGAGGTACGGTCGGTTGATAACACGATTGTCAAACCTGTGCACCTTGGTAACACTGGGGCTGCTTCAGAAGTGTGAGCAACCACAGGCCCTCCTGAACCCTCGCAGCAACTACACTTAAACCTTGTCCCAGGTTCACAGGAGGCCGATGGGGCAAGTCTGCCCTGAGCTGGGCTTCTTGCTTCTTTCTATCTTGGGGTGGTCCTAGGGAGATCAAGGCAGAATGGAATCACCACTTTTTCACAGCAAGGGACACTGACCTCCAGCCCCAGCAGAAGGCTGTGGGAGACTACAATGGGCCCATATCTGTCTACTCTGAAGCGGGGTAGGAGTTAGGGTCATGCTGCTGCCTAGCTTCCTGCTCTTCCCTAGGGAACTCTGAGCATGTACCTTGTCTTGGGATACCAGGTAGGAAGGCAGCTCGCTGGTGCAGCTTCGAGTAGAACCCCTTTCTCCCCAGGTAGAGGGTCTCAAACATTGCCCATCTCACACCCATGCTTTTTTCTCACTCCCTGTCCCACGGAGCAGAAGTACCAGCAAGTAGATGAGGAGTTCCTGAGAAGTGACCACCCAGCCATCCTGAGGTCTCAAGCCCGCTTGCCAGGGTTCCACAGCCTCCGATCTCCCCTGGACACAAGCTCTGTCCTCTACACTGCTGTGCAACCCAATGAGGGGGACAATGACTACATCATCCCCTTGCCTGACCCCAAACCTGACGCCGCTGATGAGGGCCTCCCAGAGGGTTCCCCCAGCCTTGCCAGGTAACCACCCTAACCCTTTGGTCCCAGGCACTCCTGTGTGTAGTGCATGCGTTTGTGAATGTGTGTGTGGGTGTGTACCAGACTTGCCACAGAAGGACTGACTGGCTAGAGTAAGGCCTAACTCTTGCCAGTGGGCAGCAGAGGCTGAAGTTACTCAGTTCTTGAAGCCGCAGGCAGGAAGGGCAGACTGGAATGAAATAGGATGATTGGGAACCCATTTGCAAGATAGCAGCTCTTCCTTTTAAGGGTGTACCCACAGGGCCCTTTGCAGGTAGTGTGTTAGTCCCGAGGACAAAGAGGAAAACATTTAACGTTTCCAAGCTGTTATTGTGGGTCATGGTTGCCATGCCCAGAGTGCTCCAGGGAGCACTGCTTGTAGGAGATGTCAGTGCTGCAAATTCAGTTTAGGGCTCAGACATGGGAAGAGACACATGGCTGCCTTGGGTTGTGGTGAGTCCATTGTGGGATGGGCTCTAGGGGAGGCTTTTTGCTCTCTAGTTGTCAATCTGGCATGGGGACTCCCCCAAATCAAGCGTCAACCCATGGGGGAGTGGTAGGAGACATGCTGGTTTCCATCTCTGGCCTGTCTTTGTGAAACTTGGACAGGCCTTGCCTCTGCGAGCCTCAGAGCCTCAGTTTCTTCATAGGAACTAGCAGTACATGCAGGCCTTCACAGATCCTGAAGGCAAGTGGAGATGAGAGAGATACTGGAGAGCCTGACAGCCCTGCTCTCAAATTCTAGCTTCGTGCTCCCTCACCATATGTTACAGAGCAATGACCATAACTCTCTATGCTCTGCTCACCTGCGGTGCAGGCCTCTCAGTAAGAAAATCAATACACAGAAAACCTTAGACAGGGCGGTTATTATCTTCTTGCCCCCCCACCCCCCGGTCCTTTCTGACTGTGTCCTTCCTCCAGCTCCACCTTGAACGAAGTCAACACCTCCTCGACCATCTCCTGCGACAGCCCCCTGGATCTCCAAGAAGAACCACAGGCAGAGCCTGAGGCAGAGCTGGAGCAGCCACAGGGGTCAGACTGCCAGGGACCTCTGGCAGAAACAGAGGACAGCTTCCTGTAGGGACTGGCCCTATCCCACCGGGCCTGAAACTCCCATTTGCCTCCCAGCACCCAACCCTCCTGGCCTGGCCTGGCTTGGCCTGGTCTCCCAGCTGCTGCACCTGCCACCAGCTGTCCCCTTGAAGAAGGCTCCTGGCGTGTGGCACTCAAGGCCCAGGGACCAATTTAGCTTAGGAGGCGAGAGGACTGTGGGGACTGAGCCTCTGCTTCTGGAAAGCCATGAGACTCTGAGCCAATGCTCCTCCAGGGGACTCAATTTCCCCAGATATAAGAGGAAGAGTTGGGCTTGGCTACTGGACAGGTATGGAGCCTAGATTCCTGGGTGCTGTGTTCACTTCCTCCTGTGTAGCCAGCTGCTCCTCAGCTGGATCACTCCACTTTGATCTTCCCAAGAACTGGGCAAGGACCTGGTGCCTGGCTCCCAGCCAAACAGAGGCCAGTCTTGGACAAGCTCATTTCATTAGAACCCACTTCCCCTGGTGCCAGTCTTAACTTTCCCAGGCCCGAGCTGGTCTGGGGCCAGCCATGCTCCAAGAACACTGTTAGGGGAGAAAGCAGGGCTGAGGACAGGATGCTCTGGCCTGCAGCCCTCAGGACACACCTGGCCACAAGAGGTACCTACGCCTTTCATCTTCATCACTCTCCATTGACCTGCCCACCAGAGGCCCATAGTCCATGCCTTGATATGCTAAGTGCCTCCCTGAAGTGTGCATCACTAGGAGCCCTGACTCTGCACTGGACCTGTTATGAGACCTTGGAGGACTCCCTTGTTCTCTCTGGGTACCAGTTTTCTTTCCCCTTTGAAAAATGAGCAAACTGGACTCATTGAGTCTGTGTGCCCTGTCAATACTACAATGTTAGAGTGTTCCGGGGCTTGGACTTAACGCACACAGAGTGGGGTCAAGTCCCTAAGCCACATTTCCGACTAGACTCTGGGAAGATTCCATATACACACCACATCTGGGGATTCAGGAACTGATCCTCTTCTTCAGGTCCCCAAGTGCAACTGCTCAGACCTTGACCTGGCATAACAGTCAGTGTCCTAGGAAAACCCCCTACAGCTGTCTTGAGGACACAGAAGGACCACGAGACCCTTTTCATATCATGATAAAATCTGGAGCCAGCAAGAGTGGCAAAGAAGGCAAGCCAGGTCACCTCAGGCCACAGTCACCAGGAGTGTGGACATGACGGAAACATGATGGAGAGTGAAGGCACCTGTGTCCCGTGTAGGACAAGAAACTTGAGGTGGGCATGAGCATGAGGCATAGAGCCATGGGGATCACCATCTCGACTGGACACTGTCCCTGTCCTCAGGCAGCACCGCACAGGAATGTTTTTGTCACTGCCCAAGTCTGGCAGTGGCTCTTCACCAACCAATGAACATTGGAGGAGACTGGGGAGTGAGAAGTGGACTGGAATAAGGGAGAAGAAGCCAGCCCCCCGGGAACCCTGCCATGCTGGCTTGCTGCCTGGCAGCCCCCTGCCTGGGGCAGCAGAGGTTGCTGGAGGATGGGGAGAGCTGCACACAACGGTACCAAAGATGTAATCACCTAGGTTTACAAGTACTCATAGGACTCACGATAACCCTCTTAGACACCGGAAGTGCTATTTTATATGCTGTTAAGTTTTCCTGTCTGTACGTTTTTTAAAGGGAAAAATTAATATTAAACTTGGTGCTTCTCACTAAAAGGCGGACCCATCCCTTAGGTTTGGGTCTGTGTGTCCAGGAATGCGGAGACAATTTGTCCTGGACAGGTCCATCCCTTCAGCTCCAACTCTCACTTATGTTTTTTTGTTTGTTGTTTGTGTGTTTGTTTGTTTTTAAAGTGACTTTCATTTCCTCCCATCCTGGGAAGTGGTTGGGTGACTACCTAGGCCTTGTGCTTGGGTTTCCAGGTGTGAAGCGAGGCTTTTCTTACTGTGGTATCTGGGGGGGGGGAGAGCATGGGCTTACAGAGATGGTCCGAGCCCACCCCCACTGATCCCCGCCTTGCCATGTGCTCTGGCTTTGGCCGCTAAGCTGAGTCACCCTCCTTGCCCCACTTCTTGCTGCCCACAGCCAGACTCGAGTTGGGGTAGCTTGTGGAGAGGCGCCCACCAGACTCTGAATCCTACATCCTTGAGAGTCGCCACTGGGATCCAGGTAGGAGCAGGGCAGACTGAATGCCCAAGAGGGCCAGAGAGCAGGAGAAAGAGAGGAGGGAGAAAGGGAGGTGAGAGGAGGCACAGGACAGTGTGAGCGACTGGAGCAACGGGAGGGGAGGAACCATGCTGTGGCCTAGGACAGAGGGATGCAGGCCCAGGCAGCTTCAGCATCGCAGAGATTGTGGGGCCAGCGTGAGACAAGTATCCTGATACAGGCTTCTCTGCTGATCCCAGCCTGGAGCACACTGGTCTGTGGGACACTGACAGCAACCCAGAGCCATGGGCACCAGAACTTCTGGGACGGGTCATGGGGAAAGCGTTCCTACTCAGGCGGGGTCGCTTGAGATGGAAGCAGGTTTTGGCCTGAGGTCTGACATGCCACCCCTTGCTGTATGTCTTTGGGCCTGCCCTTGCTCTGTGTGAGCTGAGGGGAGCACATCTCTGGAGGTTTGTAAAGGACATCTTGTTTTGGAGCTTCAGGCGCTGTCCCCCAGTGTGAGTAAGAGTGTAGTTATGGGGTAGCCCTGGCTCGCAGGCAAGCTGCTGACTCAGAGGCAGCTGAGACATAGCAGGGAAAGCCACCTGACTAGAGAACCTAGCTACACACTGCTGCCTCTCAGGAGACCTGGCTTTAGAGGACACCCTAAAACTGGTGACACCCTTCTCTTCTGGCTGTGGCAGGCACGGAATGAAGAAATATCCCAATCTGCCCACAAAGAACAAAATTCACATTCCAGACAAGACTTTCTATGTCTGAGATTGCCTTTACCCTGGTCTTGGAGGACAGGAGTCCCGGCTCCCCATTTCAGCATGCTTCTTAAGGACTTTGGGTGTATGACACCCCTCAGACCTCAGTTTCTCCATGGTGAATGGAACTGTCAAGACAACCAAGAGAAAAGCATGCTAGAGCCTTGGCTGCCATACCAACAGTTGGTATGCCAAGGCTGACTGGCTGTAGCATGTACATTGTCTTCTTACCCCATCTCCATCCAGGTGAGGCAAGTATTCCAAGCGGCTTTCCCAGTGTGGTCACTGTGCCAGACTGACCAGGAAGTGTGGTCTAGGTGCTTTCCACATCAGCTTAAGCGGATAAGGAAACAGCTGGGAACCCAATTCTTATCTCCTGAATCCAGGCCTTTTGGGATCTGTTTCTCCTAAAATAATGGGTTAAAAGTGCTGGGTAGAAGGGGAAGCTTAGTGACACATAGTGTCACCAGTGTCCAAGGAGCTACCCAGCTAAACACAGTGCAGGGAGTACCCACCAGAGCCCCAGGGCCTCTATGCAGAAGGGACTCTTGACTCCCATAGAACAACAGTTTCAGGACAAGTCAAAGTGCAACAAAATCAGGGAGTTTGTTGAGGAGGCCAAAGACCTTGAAGAGAGGCACGTGGGCACCAAAAGAACACACACAGGCCTCAGCAGCAGCTATGCAGTTGCACTGTTTAAGGTAGGTGACCCATAACTAAGGCTGAGGGAGAAGCAAAATATCTTGGCCTATTCACAGTGTTACTGGAAACGTTTTTATATTGGTGGATGAAATCACAGGATGATTCATAAGGCTACTTCCTCAGGCATGCACTCAAGGAAGAACTTCAGGTAAGACAAAAACGTAGATAATTTACCCCCCCCTCAGAGACAGGTTTCTCTGTTTAACAGTCCTGGCTGTCCTGGAACTCATTTTGTAGATCAAGCTGGCCTTGAACTCACAGAGATCCACCTGCTTCTGCTGAGATTAAAGATGTTCATCACGAGGCCTGGCTTAAAAAAATTAAAAAAAAAAGATTTATGTGTACAGTATATGCCTACTATTTGCATGCTATACTCACAGAGGCCAGAAGATGGCATCAGATATTACCCCCTCCCCCAATAACTGGAGTAATGGACCACCTTGAGCTGTTCTATGGATGCTGGGAAAGTCTCTCTCTCTCTCTCTCTCTCTCTCTCTCTCTCTCTCTCTCTCTCTCTCTCTCACACACACACACACACACACACACACACACACACACAGGAGTGACCTGACTGGTGCAACAAGGGAATGAAGAAAACACAGACACATAGAAGGAAGAACTAGCTGGGATTTGGTCTAAGCTGATTTCGTTAGGAGCAGCCTCTGTAGGGAACTGTCTTCAGGTGGTCAACATCCATAGAAGAATGGTGGACATTTTCTGCACACATGGTCAATGTCCACACTAGACCTGGGGAAACTAGAGGAAGGCTTTGCCGGGTCTGAAGCTGTTGGGTCTTTGACATGGCTGTGCCCATGTCAACAACATGCATTCATTCACTCAGGCCTTCACATATCCAGGCCCTTCTCTGCTCTCACAATTTACATTTTCATTTTATGTGTTACGGGTGTTTGCATGTGCATGCAGTGCCTACAGAGGTCAGAAGAGGGCGTTAGGTCCCCTAGAACTGAAGTTACAGATGGTCTTGGGTTGCCACCATGTGGGTGCTGGGACCTGGACTCAGGTCTTTGGCAGGAGCAGCTAATGCTCTTAACCACTCGCTCCAGCCCTGCAGATGGAAACTTAAAAATTAAAGTAGTTTTGCTTTATACAGGTTCCACCAAGAGATTAAAACGTGTGTTTTTATCCCAAGCATGCTTTGCCAGCTGTGTTTATAGCCTTGTTTGCAGTATTCTTAGGAAGGAACTATAGTTCTGCATATGGTTTCTGTGCAGGGAAGTTTCTAGTCTGTATGTAGAAACTCCTGACGCAGGCTGCATGAGGTCAAGTGGGGGTGGGGGGTGACTTTTCCTTGTGTGTGCCTGGCTCTTTTTCCATGTTTTTGTCCGATCTCATTGGGGTTGGGTAAAAAGAGTGAAAAGTATTTGGAGACCAGCTTGAATGTCTGAGGACTATCTGGGCCCCAGCTTCTCTGTCTCACCACACAGGAAAAATAAGTGTGCTGGAATTTTCCTCCCAGACAAATGAGCCACTTGGACCATTCAGTTCTTCCATAGTTCACTCTCAGCCAGAGGTCTCTTTTCTTGGAAAAAGAGGGAAGCACCCACTGAAGAACACTGTCACTGTGGGGCCCCTTCGTGCCCTGATAAGGTCTTCCCAGCCCCTATCAACACTGCTCCTCCGGATTAGGGCCCTTGTTTATCTGATTATTTTGTTTAGGTTTGCATCAATTAATTCATTTTGTGAAAGTGTTTTAAGTTTATAATTATTAAAGGACTTACACCCCCGAATTGATCCCTCATGTGTGTTTTCATGGTTTAAACTCTGCCAACAGTTTAAATACTTACTCTCTCTGCTTAGTTACTCAGTGGATAGGAAATTATCTTATGGAAATTCTTTTTCCTCATTGCAAAGTATAGTTACATTTATCTAGGATTTTTCCTTCTTTGTATTTACAGTAACAGTTTTGCTTTGCATATAATGAAGCTATAATCATTTTTAAAGCTACCACGAACATTTTGTACCATTATGGTTTTTCCTTCCAGTACTTTAATACAGGGGAACCTACAGGCATAAATCCATCCATCCTGAGAGCTGCCTGTGATTTAAAGTATCCTCAAGTGCTTAGGTAGCTACTGATGAACACAACACGTACATTGTTTCCAACTTCCCATGATTTGAAAACTGCTCATGTTTACATATTTATGTATTTGTTTCCTTAGGCTATATCTCCAGCCATAATTACCAGTAAAAAGGATAACTATTTAAAAATATAAGAGAGGAGGCACACACCAACGATCCCAGAACTCAAAGTGGAGGCAGGAGGGCCATCATAGAAGACCATGTCTCTGTCTCCGTCTTTTTCTTTTTCTGTGTCTGTGTCTCTATGTCTGTCTGTCTCTTTCTGTCTGTCTCTCTGTGTCTGTTTCTCTGTCTGTCTGTCTCTGTCTCTCTCTCCCTCTCTCTGTCTCTGTCTGCCTGTCTCTCTCTCCCTATATCTCTGTCTCTGTCTGTCTCTGTCTCTGTCTGTATGTCTCCCAGGACCTGGGCTTTTGTGATAGGGTCTCATGTAGCTCAGGCTGACCTACAACTTTCAATGTAACTGAGAATGACCTTGAACTTCTGATCCTTCTGCCACAGGAAGTGCCACGCTCCACTGAAAGTCCCCTTTGAAGTACACAAGGTTAGAGCTAGAGGAATGGCTCTGTAGTTAAGAGTCCTTGTTGTTCTTACAGAGGACCCAGGTTTGGTCCCCAGCATCCACACGGCGGCTCACAACCATGCATCGTAACTCCAGGTCCAGGGGATCCAACACCCTCTTTTGGCTCCCTTGGAGCACTGTGCCCGATGTACATGTGCACAGAAACACATGCAGACAAAACATCCATACATTTAAAATGAAAAATAAAGGAACATTTTTAAAAGAAAAAGAATTACAATGCACAAAGTCATAGCGCCTTTAGGAAACTTAAGGTAAAAATCTGATGTGCATGGTGGCCTTTAGTCCCAGCATTTGGGAGGCAGAGTCAGGAGGATCTCTCTGAGTTTGAGGCCAGCCTGGTCTACAAATGGAGTTCTAGGACAGCCAGGGATGTTACACAGAGAAGACCTATCTCAAAAAAACCAGTAATATATATGTATGCATG